GGGCTCCAGGAGGGGAAGGAGAAGGAAGGAGGTGGGGGTGGGGCGGCCCTGGCGAGGCGGGGGAGGGGCCTTTTGTGGGCATGGACGCCCCCTGCAAAGCCGCCTCCCCCTTCCCTCCCCCTATGCCCAGGGCGGCCAGGGAGGCTGCTGCACACTTTGACCTGGAAGTTTCCATGCCAGTGGACTTTCTGAGTTGGTGAAGATGCACAGATGGAGGGCACCAAAGCTCCCAGCCCCTAGCAGCAGGGCCAGTTCTTCTAGAATGATCTTCCGAACCCCTGCCCATCTCCCCAGGCCAGGCCACCCTGGCCCCGCCCTGCCACTCACTGGACACCTGCAGACGGATCCTGTTGGACAGGGCCGTGCCAAATTTGTTGCGGGCAAAGCACTGGTACTCGCCCTCGTACTCCTCGGGCCGCCCCCCGCTGCGGAAGTCAATCACCAGCGTCCCCGACCGCCGCCGCATGGACACGCGGGGGTCCTTGGCGATGTTGAAGAACCTGCTGTTGCGCGTCCAGTGGAAGCTGTGGACCAAGAGGGGGCAGGAGCAATCGAGACGGATGGGACACCCCCATCCTCCGGGCCAACCCCAGACCCACAGGCCCCGACTCACACCGAACCCCGGGGTCCAGCCCCACCCCACACCTCCAGACTGACGGCCCCACCCTGGCTGAGCAGCAGGCAGAACACCACGTCCCAGTCCCACCAGGTGCCTGTGATGGGTGGGGGCCTGCTGCTCAGGTGGTCCCTGAGGGTTATGCTAAGTGCACAGGTGGGCAGCAGGCTGGGATTTGACCGGTGGGAATACAGACTCAGCAACTCCTTCCCTTCTTGCTGTCAGGAGTGCAAACTCCAAGTCCCAGTTCACCCTAGTCCTGCGCCCTGGCGAGCCGGCTCTGCTCCTCCCACCTCCCGAATTTGCAGGCTGCCTGCGCCCTGCTCAGGGAGCGTGGAGGGTAAAGCAGAGGCCGCGCTCAGAGGCCTGGGAGCAGACAGAGGTTTTGAAAGGAACCTCAGCCTAACATGAGGGTCTCCAAAAAGTTCATGGAAAATACACGTTCTGGGAAAAACTCTGTATGGATTTCTAAGGTTTTCTGCATCCAAATAAGCTTCTCTCTCTCTCTCTCTCTCTCTCTCTCTCTTTTTAAGGATTTATTTATCTATTTGAAAGTCAGAGTTATATAGAGAGAAGACAGGCAAAGAGAGAGGGAGAGAGAGAGGTCTTCCATCCGATGGTCCACTCCCCAATTGGCCGCAACAGCCAGAGCTGCCGATCCGAAGCCAGGAGCCAGGAGCTTCCTCTGTGTCTCCCACATGGGTGAAGGGGCCCAAGGACCTGGGCCATCTTCCACTGCCCTCCCAGGCCACAGCAGAGAGCTGGATTGGAAGTGGAGTAGCCAGGTCTTAAACCAGAGCCCATATGGGATGCTGGTGCTTCAGGCCAGGGTGATAACCTGCTGAGCCACAGCACCGGCCCCACACTTCTCTCTCTCTTTTTTTTTTTTTTTTTTTTTTTTTTTTTGACAGGCAGAGTGGACAGTGAGAGAGAGAGAGACAGAGAGAAAGGTCTTCCTTTGCCGTTGGTTCACCCTCCAATGGCCGCCGCGGCCGGTGCACCGCGCTGATCCGATGGCAGGAGCCAGGAGCCAGGTGCTTATCCTGGTCTCCCATGAGGTGCAGGGCCCAAGCACCTGGGCCATCCTCCACTGCACTCCCGGGCCACAGCAGAGGGCTGGCCTGGAAGAGGGGCAACCGGGACAGAATCCGGCGCCCCGACCGGGACTAGAACCCGGTGTGCCGGCGCCGCAAGGTGGAGGATTAGCCTAGTGAGCCGCGGCGCCGGCTCCCACACTTCTCTCTTAATTCCACTTCTCCAGAAACTGTTCAGCCCTCCTAGAACTGAGTGCTGGGTGAAGAGTGGGGACGTTCCCCACCTCTGCTGGGCGGATGTGCACCTGCCACAGGAGATGCATCCTTGGCTGCTCTGCCCGTGACAGAACCAGGAAGGGCCGCAGGGGGAGGGGGAGCCACACAGGCTGCTCAGTGTCAGTCACTGCCCCTGCAAAGCAGCCCTGGGGGGGAAGACCAAGTCTCAGGGGCAAGGTCAGCCACCCTTCAGGCCTCCACTTAGGGTAAGTGGGTCCCTGCAGGCCCCGGGCTCACAGCTCAGTGCTGAACCGGCTCAAACAAGCCCCGAGGCCAGGATAAGGTAGCCCCAACCTGTGAGCCTGCACCCCGCCTCGCAGCTCCTGAGTTCTGCTGGGTGCTGCTTTGAATGCGGGAGACAGATAACTCACGCCGGCCCTACCTGCGATGCTCATCACGCCGTGGAAACAATCTGAGCTTGGGGTGTACTCTGGATCTGCACCCTTCACGCTGGGACCGAGAAAAGGCCCTTAAAGCCCACGCACCCCGGGGAGGACATGGTCCTGCCGCAGAGGGCGGTCAGGGGACGGGGCGAGACGTGAGTCACAACGCCTCCCACAGCCTGCACAGAGCGGGCTCTCCACACACTGCTGCTGACCTCCCACTGGGTCCTGATGAGCCACACACTCAGAAGGGAAGACCTGGGGCCAGTGCCGGGGCGTAGGAGTAAAGCCGCCACCTGCAGCGCCAGCATCCCGTATGGGCACCAGTTCCAGTCCCGGCTGCTCCACTTCCCATCCAGTTCCCTGCTGATGCACCCGGGAAAGCAGCAGGAGACCTGGGAGAAGCTCCTGGCTTCGGCCTGGCCCAGCTCTGGCCGTTGTGGCCATTTGGAGAGTGAACCAATGGATGGAAGATCTGTCTCTCTCTGCCTCTCCTCTATAACTCTTTCAAATAATAAATAAATCTTTTAAAAAAGGAAGACCCGAGGTAGCTGGGAGGTACTTCCTGGCAGCTGAACGCGGGTAGAAGAGGGGACACCGGGCAGTGGTGTGACACTGAAAGTCAGAAGCCTGAACTCCAAGTCCTGCATGGTCGCCGTGGCTGCACACGAGCCCCTGATGTTTCCTTGGCCCCCAGGGCCTTATTCACCTTCCCCCAGGTGGGCTCCCAGGGGCCACTTCTGGAGTGAGTGGCCCTAACTTCCCAGTTGCCTCACTGGCCTCAAGCACCACCAGGCTAGAGACAAAGCTGCTGGTGGTGGTGGTGGGGGGTGCCCTCCTATTCGCTCCCCTCCTTGCCACTCACCTGGGGGCGGGGTTGCCCTTGGCTTCACACTCGATCAGGATGTTGTCCCGGGGGTCCACGATGTGGTCCTTCACTGACTGCTTGGTGATGGTCGGAGGCTGGGTCACTGCAACAGGGCACACCACGGGCGGTCAGGGAGGCCGGGACCCCTGTGGGCCCTGGCTTGGGAATGGCGGAAATTAAGAGCTTCAGGAGCCACGTGGACAGGGAGGCTTGTGGGGGAGCAACAGTGCCCCATTCTAGAGACCCAGCTCGGGGGGCTGCAGCACAGGGCACAGGTGTCCACGGCCCGGTGTAAGAGGGCTCCCTTTAAGATCCCCAGGAGGAACTGGAAGCCTGGCGGCTGTTTCTGCCATTCTTAGCCCAGTGCCCTGCGCAATGCACAGGTTTTCAGTACATGTTTGTTGAATGAAGGCGGGAACGAAAGCAGCCAGACTTCCAAGCTTACACGCCTTGATGGCTCCGGGCACTGGGGGCTCGGCGAGGCCAGGGCTGAAAGAGGTGTTGATCCAGAGATGCTCCCAGGGACTTGTCTGCACGCCAAGGGCCTGGATCCTCTCACGCTGGGTCCTGAGCCCCAGCGTTTCATATCGGGACAGGCACCAGCCACTGCTCTGTAGCTTGGTCAGCTCTGACCCAAAGACCTTCTCCCTGAACCTGCTCCTCCGCCTTTCCCAGGAACAGGCTGCTCCCTGGCGTAAGGACCCTGCTACGGGGCCCCAGCACTGAGAAGCCCTGGGAGAAGTCTCCGCAGGTCCGGGGGGCAGCCACTGTCCCAGTCTCTCCTCACCTGGCCTTCTCCCTGCCACCCCCTCCTCCCTCCCACCTGCCAGAGGCACACGGGGGACTTACGCTCATTCTGAATGCTTGCTGTTAGTTCCGATGGGTTAGCATGGGGTGAGGAGAAGAGAAGACGGTTACGGCACAGGAACATCCCCGCCCCGCCCAGGCGTTCTCTCCCCGCAGCAGGCAGGTAGGGTGAGGCGGGGCAGGGCGGGGGGCACTGTGCACCCAGCCGCAGGTGGCTCAAGTCCTCGAGAGCAGGGCTCGGGAACAGGCTCAGTGAGTGCTCAGGGCAGGTGCGATGCCTCCCCTGGGAGACGGTAACCACACAGCGGAGCAGAGGGACCAGCTCCTGACCAGAGGTGCTGCCTGAAAGGCCACCGCACACCACTGAGGGACGTGGGCTCCAGGCCAACAGTGCAGGGGGAGATGGGGAGGCAGACTGAGAGGCTCAGAGGGGGATCTGAACCCGCTATGGAAGCCCTGAGGCCCAGGCCTCACTGCTCTCCTTCCCTCCTTCAGGACAGGAAAAGACACCTCCTCTCCTCTCCCCTCTTTTCCCCCCTCTCCTCTCCTCTCCCCATCTCTCCTCTATCCTCCTCCCCCCTCCTCCCCCCATCCCTCCTCTCCCCTCCTCTCCTCCCCCTCCCCTCTCCCATCCCTCCTCTCCGCTCCTCTCCCACCTCTCCTCCGTCCTCCTCTCTCCTTTCCCCATCCCTCCTCTCCCCTCCTCCCCCTCCTTCTCCCCCCACCTCTTCTTCCTCCTCCTCCCCCATCCTTTGGGAAACTCGAGGGCAAATGCGCTGCTGCTGCCCTGTTTCTGGCCGAGGGTCCCCACCTTACAGAACCGTGCTTCCCAGCAAGACTCTGGGGGATGTGGCAGAGCCTACAGTTCCACTCTGGGCTTTGTTTGCTTTCTTTCTTTTTTGTTAAGATTTATTTACTTATTTGAAAGGCAGATTTACAGAGAGGCAGAGGCAGAGAGACAGAGAGAGCAAGAGAGAGGTTTTCCATCTGCTGGTTCACTCCCCAGTTGGCAGCAACAGCCAGAGCTGAGCTGATCCGAAGCCAGGAGCCAGGAGCTTCCTCCAGGTCTCCCACACAGGCGCAGGGGCCCAAGGACTCAGGCCATTTTCTACTGCTTTCCCAGGCCACGGCAGAGAGCTGGATCGGAAGTGGAGCAGCTGAGACTCGAACCGGCGCCTATATGGGATGCTGGCAATGCAGGCGGTGGCTTTACCCGCTACACCACAGCGCCAGCCCCTCCCCCTCTGTGCTTCCCATGAAGGTCGTAGAGAGGCGGGGGGAGGGGCACAGATCTTCTGCAGCTCTCACGTCAGATGTGCACGCGCTCCACACAGGTGCACGTGGGCGAGGTCCAGCGTCTCAAGCTTTACCAGGCACATGAGTCACCTGGGATCAGACTGAAAAGCAGGTTCTCAGTCCGCGGTAGAGGGCGGGGCCTGGGACTCTGCATTTCTGACAAGTGCCCAGGCCACGCCCATGCTGGTGGTGTGTACACCATACTCTGGATACCAAGGTTTTACTCATTTTTTTTTTAAACTTTTATTCGAGAGGAAGAGAAAGCTCAGCTGGTGCTTTAGCCAGGCGCCCGATGACTTGAGCCATCACTTGCTGCCTCCTAGGGTCTGCACTAGCAGGAAGCTGGAGTCCTGACCTGGAGCTGGGGACCGAGCCCAGGTCCTCAGGTGTGGGACACGGACGTCTGACCTGCGAGGCTAAATGCCCACCCCCGGATAGCAAGGATTTAGCTGGTGTGTTCTTTGCGAGGTGGGGGTGCAATCTTGGTTGCACCCCGTCTGCAGGGACAAGAACGCATGTTTCCTCCTCGTGGGTGGAACGTCACGGCACTCTCAGGTCCTGGGCAGGCATCCCAGGGTGACCTGTTCAGAGCAGGTGCTTCCGGGGGGACCGGAGGCCGTGCAGAGCCATCGTGACCTCCACGCCTTCTGCTCTGACTGCAGGGAGGCGTGAAGAGGACCCCGGGGTGCAGAGAGGGTGGCCACAGCTAGGCCCAAGAGGTACAGAAGGAGCCACAGGAGGGGAGGAGAGACGCACGGCGCGGGGTGCTGAGGAAGGCGAGAGTGAGCGCCCCGCAGGGGAGACCAGCAGCGCCTCAAACTGGTTCTCCCCAGGGGCCAGGCTGTGTGGCCGTGGGCGCACGGAGGAGGCGTCTGGCATCACTGCTTGCCCGGTGCTGCCTGGGCAGCAGACAGAGGAAGGCAGGGTGCAGGGGCAGCCAGCGGCGAGGGGGTGCATGTGTGCTCCCTGGGGCTCCCCGCCGCGGCCTCCGCGCTCGCCTGTGGTCTTCCTGCCTGGGCCAAATAAGGCAATTCTGGAAAGACGGAAGTCAGCAGAGTTGGCATGGAGGGGCGGGGGTGGGGGCTGCAGAAGGGGCCATTCCCAGGAGAGCACGGGTGATGTCTCAGCTCACTGCTTTTAAGATTTATTTGACAGGCAGACAGGCAGATAAGCAGACAGGCTGACAGGCAGACAGGCAGAGAGAGAGAGACAGAGAGAGAGAGAGAGAGAGATCCTCCATCTGCTGGTTCGGTCCCCAAATAGCTGCTGTAGCCGGGGCTCAGAACTTCATCTGTGTCTCCCACGTGGGTGGCACAGCCCCAAGCACTTGAGCCACCACCCTCTGCTTCCCAGGAGCATTAGCAGGGAGCTGGACGGGAAGAGGAGCAGCTGGGACTCTGAACAGGCCGTGGGCGCTCCAAGTGGCAGCTGAGCCCACTATGCCACACCCGCTGGCCCCGAGCCCATTCCTTCTGACCACAGCCCGGGCCCCTGGCTTCTTCATTTCGAGACACACAGCCGAGGTCTCCTGGGTCCTCACATCCAATCGAGGCCCTGGCCTCACGGCGCTGGGAAGCCTGACGCAGGATGTCCCTGTGCGCACGGGCTGCGGGCTGCGGGCTGCTCTCTCGGAAATTCAAAGCCTGGCTCACTGGGATGCACCCTAGACCCTGTCCGGCGACCCTCGATCCCGAGGCCAGAAGTCACTTGGTGAAGATCACACAGGAGGGAATCCTGCTGCGGGTGGATCCCAAGCCGGGGGCGGGGAGGAGTGGGTTCGTCCGGCGGGGCCTCAGCACTACGTTCTCCTCGACACTCTGGACACGGTGAGCAAGCAGGGAGAGGGCTGCAGAGCAGGCTGGGTATTGTCCCCAGCCCACAGCGACTTCTCTGGCCAGGGCCCTCGTGAGACTCTGCTTGCCTAAAGGGACGATGACATCTGCAGCCACCACTGAGCTACAGGGACAGCATCAACCCAGAAGATGAGCTGCCAGGGGACAGCAGTGGGGACAGCCTGTCTGGGCACAAGGACACCGGCTCCCGTCCAGCATCGCACCACCTGCCCTCTCTCCTGCGGAACTCGCCGGCTGGGGACTTCTGGCCGGGCAGTGAATGCGCTCTTCTGGTTCCAAGGGGGAGGAAATGCAGGCGGCTGGGCTCTGCAGGGGGCGGCAGACGCCAGCCAGCCGGGGGACCAGGGCTGCTGCTTCCGGCCTCTTTTCCCAGCCTGGCTCTGGTGGCTGCGCCCTCGGGCATACCCCTGGGGGGTGGAGAGTGAAGTGCGCATGTGTGTGCGTGTGCACGTGCAGCCCGGCATCCTGCAGTGCTGCTCAGGACGCGGCTGGGAGGCAGTGACTCCCCCCTCCACTGCCCTCCTCTAGGTTCCCAGGAGAGAACTGAGTGCCCTTGACACTGGGAGGAGACGGAGGGCCAGCTTCCAGCAGACTGGCTGCTGGCAAACCCACTCTGGCCGCCCCGGGCACTTTTCTCAGGTCAGGCTGTTCTCCTCGGGCCGGGGAGGTGGGGTGCATGTGACTGCACTGGCAGGCGCAGGGCCAGAGGCTGGGCGTCTCGGCGAGGGACTGTGCAGCGGCCCAGGGCTCTGCTGCCCCAAACCACCCAGCAGGATGCAGTGCCCGTCTCTCAAGCTCAGACGCTGTCCCCTGAAGGGTCACAATGGCCTCCTACCCGAACCCCTAGGCAAACAGGGAAAGCCGAGGAGGCCTGAGCTCTGCCCAGCCCAGGGTGAGCAGACGGTGGGGCTCAGCTGATATGGGGAGGGAGAAACCTGTCCGAGGAGACCCTCTTCCCAGGGCCCCCGGGGCCTCCATGAAGGGCTTGCTTCCCGCATTCGGCTTCCATAGACTCAGCCAGGAGACGCCCGCTGGGCACCCAGGGGTGCCCCCAGCAGCCCGAGCTCCTGCCTGGGCACAGCCTGGGTCACCCCTCCGTCAGGGAAGCGCTATGGTAACATGCTGGGCGTGCCACTTAGTTGCTGGTGAGCTGGCGACAGTGGCTGGATTTCCAAGTGGATCAGCTGTGAGACCCACAGGAGAGGGGACGTGGGCAGCACCTCTGCCCGCTACGGCGAGCTGCGATGCCCGTGAGTTCCAAGACAGAATGAAGGGAGGAGGAGTGGGCGTGCTGAGCGCCATGGTGGCGGGGACGAGACCCGGGTTCTTTTCCGATGCTGTCGCCTGTTTTCTGCCTGACTCTGAGAAAGAAAGGGCTTGCATTTCCCTGGACACATGTGGAAAGGGAAGGGGGTTCCTCCCAGCCCCTCCTCAGGGACACTGGGATGGGGAGAGGCTGGAGGGGAGGTCACGGCCCCCTCTGCCCTTGGGCCACAGACAGTCTTTGGAAAGATGTGACACCTGCCATGTGTCTGTCTCCAGGAGGGCTTCAGGAACCCAGACTCCCACACAGACGCCAAAGCTCTCTCTGTGGGTTCACCTCGCCCTGGGGGCCCCTCCCACACGGGCCTCAGGATCAAAGTGTCAGGGAAACGAGAGAGAAGCAGTAGAGCACGCGCCTTCCCCACGCAGTGATAACCCACACTCCGGGACGTAGCCTAACACGCTCCTGATTGGGGTTGTCTGCCTGGGACCGTCCACTGTTCCCGGGAACCTTGGGAGAGTCGCCTTGAGCCAGTCGCGCAGACGGTAGCTCCGGCAACACTTCCCTTCCCCGCCTTCCCCTCCTCACAACACACACAGCACGGTGCACACGCACGCACACGTGTCCCCGGGCAAGCGCACACACTTGGGGCTACTGGCTGGCCCTGCCCATCCTGCTTGCAGCTGCACGTGCATCTCTGGGGCAGCCTTGGTTGGTGCCCCTGGGAGGGAGAAGGGGCTGGCTGTGGAGGGCTCGGTGGGGGCTTCCTGCAGGCTGCGTCACTCTTGTGCTTCCTCCCCAGACGTCTGTCAACTGGAGAGAGCCCAAGTCGGCTGGCACCATGGGGGTCCCTTCCCTTCCCTGAAGCAGGGACCGGAGGCTGCAGTGTCACGTCCCCACCTTAGCGCTAAGTGTCAGAGCTGCGGCACAGGCAGCACACCCTACAGGCGGGGCCAAGGAGCCTGGCTGCCGACCAGCGGGTGTTCTTGAATGTGGCGGTGGCTACAGCCGGGGGGGACCCCGTGGTGAGCACGGCCGCTCACATCCTTACGGCATCACGGTCGAATCTTAGCCCTACCCCCGAGAAGAGGATGACACACACTTCCCACAGAGGACCTGGAAACCAGCAAAAGCAAGCCACCTGTGCCTGGGTCTCTTCCGGTGGCATGAATCTCTATTTAATGTCTCACTCAGCCACGTCTGCGAAGATATGTTCCCTTCCTGACCCACCCCAGACCATCCGTCCACCTGCTCACCCCAGCCAACAGGGCCTGACGCGTCCAGCTTTGGCCATCCCAGACTTCCAAAAGGTAAATAAGAACAGTCTACCCACCCTGGACCCCAAAACTGCTCGAGACCAAACGGGACCGGGGAGGGGAGCAGAGGCCGGGCTCCAAGCAGCGCTCCGAATCCCTGACTCTACAGGCTCACCAGTCCCGAGGCAGCAGCCCTGCCCCTTAGCGTGTGGGATTTCAGACTCAAAGCCTGTGCTGCTGCTTTGGTGAGAAACCCAGCTCTGAGTGCCAGAGTCCACTGCTCCCCTCTCCGCTGGCCTCCACGCCGGCAACTCTGCCCACAACCGGTAGAAAGAGAGACAAGGGTGAGCGGGACTCACGGTCCATGGGAATCTCGATGGCTCCACCAAGTCCGAGGACGCAGAGGAGGAAGGCTGCGTGGACCCAGGGCGGCGGCTGCGGCCTGGCCATCCTCGGCACCAGGCCCCGCTCCCTGCTCCCCGGCCCTCGGGGTCTTGCCGCCTTGAGCCGCTCCAGCTGGGCCTCCTGGACAGAGCTCAGCTGTGGAAAGAAACACACAGCAGGTGAGTGTCCCTTGAACTTGTGCTTTGCTGCAGTCATGCTACAGGGGCTGGGAGGCCTCTCAAGGTCCCCTTGGTCCTAAAACAGGCTTTCCTGAGACATCTGAGACTGAACCACTGGGAGAGGGGAGGGACATCCTGGGCGCTACAGAATGCTTAGCAATCCTCCGCCTTACCCACTAGGTGCTGTAGCCCTGCCACCCATCAAACGTGGCTCCAGGCATTGCCACCTATGTCCTGTCTAGAACCACAGTTCTAGATAGAAGGACAAGGCTGCGTAGAACAGTCGGAGAAGCAGACACGGGCCCAGCCTTGAGACGCCACGCCCCAGGGTGCAAGAAATGCTCTTGTCTCTTAGCTGCTCCGGACACGCGCCCAGTGTGCCTGGGGCTGAGGGTGTACGGCGTGGGGCACAGAGCTGAGACCACCTTGATGTCCTGCGGTCACAGGGGAACACTGGTGGCACATCACAGGTTAGTAAGGGAAAAACTTGGCTGTCCAATGGCTGCCTTTTTATTTTAAATTTTTTATTTGAAATGCAGAGAGAGAGTGTGTGTGTGTATGAGAGAGAGAGAGAGAGAGAGAGAGAGAGAGAGAGAGAGAGAGACATCTTCCATCTGCTGGCTCATGCCCAAAATGCCCACAACACCAGGGCTGGGTCAGGCCAAAAGCTGGGAGCCAGGAACTCCACCCAGGTCTCCCACGTGGGTAGCAGGTGGGAGCAGGCTCAAGAACTTGAGCCATCATCTGCTGCTTTCCCAAGCTGCATCAGGAGGAAGGCAGAGAGGAAGCAGAGGGCCAGGACTTGAACTGGTGCTCCAACAAGGCACACAGGTGTCCCAGGTGGTGGCTTCATGTGGCTGTGCCGCAACGCCGGCCGCCTCTTCTTGATGAAGGATCTCGGCGAGTATTTTGTGCAGCTCCGGGATGGGGGTGGGCGGGTCCCTGATGCGCCTCTAAGCCAACGGCAGTGCTGAGACGGTGATCAGAGGCAGGATGCTGGGGGTCAGCAGAACGAGCAGTATTCTGCCAGCCCGATGACCACCGTCTCCAGCACCAGGAATCGCTCCAAGGTCACAGGGATGCGACACATGGCTGTCCACGGAGCCCAGCACGGGCTGGGACAAACTCTTCTTCCCCTGTTCCCGAGAGGGAAGAGCTTCAAGAAGGGTCTGCAATACAGAGACTGAAACACGGCTCTTGAAGCCTGCCTGAGGCTCTGAACCGCGGGGTCCTGAAAAGTGGTCCAGCGGCTGCTCCCCCAGGAGCCTGAGGCCACGTGGAAGGCAGGAGGTGGCTCCTCAGCCGTCTGGACCAACGGCTGCCTCTCAAAGGGACTCCAAGTTCTGCACTTGCTCTCCCGCAGCAGCCGGAAGTGCACAGCCCACAGCACCCCTGCTCCTCTCCACCTGACTGACGGGGAGGAGCGGGGCGGGGTGGGGCGAGCTCCTGGGAGACAGGGTCCCCCTTTGAGACCTGGAGCAGAAAGCAGCTCCCTGTGCCAGGAGGTGGAGGTGGAGGTGGGGCGAGCGAACGACTTGCCTTCCGACAGCAGCTTCCTTCCTGGGCACCGGGTTCCACACCGCACCCCCCCCCCCCCCGCAGCTGCCTCTTGTCTATTTCTGGATTGTACCCACTTGCGCCCCTCCCACTGCCACCACCATGGTGGTTTGGAGCACCATCTTCCCCCGCCAGGGCTGCCGCAGCCTCTCCGTGCCACCCCGTGTTGCCTCTGCTTCTCCGCCCCTGACCGTGGACATTTAGAAGAGCAGAGGCAACAGGCCACGCCCAGCTCAAGCGTGAATGTCTCCCTACCAATGCCACGCCCTTGGCCCTGCGCCCTGCGCCCTCTGCAGTCTCGGCTCTCATCGCCGTCCGTGGCCCTCCGGCGTGACCAGTGCTGCCTTCCACCAGGTCTCCTCGTGCGCACTGCTCTGTATTGCTGACTTCTGCACAAGCCTGTCCAGGCCACTCTTTGGGTGCGTCCTCTCCGACAGGGATTTGCCAAGCGTGACTGTGCCCCTCACCCCTGCTCCTCAACACCCACACCTACCCCACGATGGCCCTTGCCCTTGGTATTCATGCCAATCCCACGTCACTGCCTCCCCCACAGAAATGAAGGTTCCACAGGGAAAGTGCCCAGTCATGTTGACTGCCCCACTCTCAGAACTGACCACAGTAACCGAACAGCAGACCCTTGAGAACATGTGATGGACTCACGAGGAACTCAGCCAATGAATGAATGGATGGATGAAGAAACCAGTTGGGGACCAGCGCTGTGCCACAGGCTAAGCTCCCACCTGTGGTGCCAGCATCCCATATGGGTGCTGGTTCTAGTCCCAGCTGCTCCACTTCCAATCCAGCTCTCTGCTATGGCCTGGAAAAGCAGTAGAAGATGGCCCAAGTCCTTGGGTCCCTGCGCCCACGTGGGAGACCAGGAAGAAGCTCCTGGCTCCTGGCTCTGGAGAGGCCTAGCTCCATCTGGGGAGTGAACCAGCGGATGGTAAACCTTTTTCTCTCCCCTTCTCTCTTCTGTAACTCTGCCTCTCAAATAAATAAATAAAATCCTTAAAACACACAAACACACACACACACACACACACACACAAAACCAGAAAAACCCACTTGGATCACAGGTTCTTGGACTCCTCGTGGTGTCCTTGACAACCACCAGGGGGCGCAGGAGAGCACATGCCGTGGCCCTAGGGCAGTGCCTGGTGCTGAAGGACTCCCTCGATGCCCTCTGGCCAGGAAACCACGCGTCGGGAAGAGGGTTAATGAGAGAGCAGACAACCTTCCAGAAGGGCCAAGACATCACAGGAGGGTTTTGGTTCTTTTTTTTTTTTTTTCAATTATTATATATAATCTTGACAGGAAGAGTGGACAGTGAGAGAGACAGAGAGAAAGGTCTTCCTTTGCTGTTGGTTCACCCTCCAATGGCCGCCGCGGCCAGCACACTGCGGCCGGCGCACCGCGCTGATCCCATGGCAGGAGCCGGGTACTTATCCTGGTCTCCCATGGGGTGCAGGGCCCAAGCACTTGGGCCATCCTCCACTGCACTCCCTGGCCACAGCAGAGAGCTGGCCTGGAAGAGGGGCAACCGGGACAGAATCCGGCGCCCCGACTGGGACTAGAACCCGGTGTGCCGGTGCCGCTAGGTAGAGGATTAGCCTAGTGAGCCGTGGCGCCGGCCGGGTTTTGGTTCTTCGTCCTAACTCTCCAAGACGTCCCTCACGCTGACCTAGCCAGAGCCCTCGGGCACTCTTCCGGGCTTCTTTATCTCCAAAGGGCAGACTGGGATCACCCAGCAGAAGTTAGCACGCAGGGGTCCTGGGCTAGGGGAGGGCTCTGCACTCCTCCGGCGGGGGCGACGGAGACGGCCCCAGTCTCAGCTCCACCACCGGCATGTTTTGCTCAGGAGCTGCCGAGCGACACACAGGGCCAGCCACGGGGAGGACGTTTTAGCCGGGGAATCGCGACGGAGCCAGGAAGCCAGAAGCTATTCATGAACCAGAAACACGCAGGCAGGAAGGAGGTCCAACTGTTCGGGACGTTTTTGGACTCATAATTTTTTTAAAAAAATATTTTGTTTATTTGAAAGGCAGAACAACAGAGAATGAGGGAGAGACAGAGATCTTCCATTGACTGTTCAGTCCTCAGATGGCCTCAAGGACTGGGGCTGGGCCAGGTCAAAGTCAGGAGCCTGGAACTCCATCCGGGTCTCCCAGGCAGCGGCTTAACCCGCCACACCTCAGCACTGGTCCCTGGACTCGGAGCTGAACACGCAGCAGAAGTCCCCAGACAACCCCCGTTAGCTGTAGGCCTCCTCTTCCTCCTCACTCGGGAACGCAGCTTCCCCAGCGAGTCGCAGATGAGGAGGAAAACGTACGGATGATGCAGCTGAACACAACCCCCGAGTTTCACTTGAGGAAACACCGCCCAGAGTCGGAGGCGCCTTGCCTGAGGTCCCCCAGCTGTGAGTGGCAACGCGGGGAAAGGAACCCGGGGCTCCCGCCCCCCAGCCCAACGCGCTCCTGCCCAATCTCCCCGTCTCCTGGTCAGAAAGCCACGTGAGTTCCAGGGCGAAGCCGCGGTTCTTAGAAGCCAGTCTGGCAGCTGCTCAGGAAGTTAAGCGTAGAACTGCTCTACGACCCTGCGGCTCACTCCAGGGACCATGCCCGAAATGATCAAACACGCAGACACGCGTGTTTACGGCAGCTCCAGCACAACAGGCAGAAGGCACAGAGCGCCCAGATGCCCACGCACAGGCGACCAGATGGACACACTTCAGCGGACTAGTACGCAGCCGGAGCAGCAAGGAAGTACATTCCACCTGCTACAGGGTGGACGAACCCCGAAGCACGCTCAGTGACAGTCACATGCGGAATGAGCCAGACGTACATTCCATATGAGAAATATCCAGGACAGGCAAGCACGTGGAGAGAACACGGACTGGCGGTGAGCAGGCGAGTGGTGAGGGACTGCTTAGTGGGTTCGGGGTTTCCTTTTGGGATGATGGGAATGTTTTGGGACTAGGCAGAGGTCACGGCTGCACACTTCGTGAATATCCCTATGCCAGTGAACCATGCACTTCAGAACGGCTTCTCAGGGGCAGGCGTCTGACCTGGTGGTTAAGGTGCCCACGCCTCCCAGTGGAATCCCTGAGTTTTAGACCTGGTTCCTGCCCCGGACCCCAGTTTCCTGCTGATGCAGTCCCTGGGAGGCAGTGGGGCTGGCTCAGGTAACTGGGGTCCTGACACCCACATGGGGCGCCTGGGTTGAGTTCCTGGCTTCTGGCTCTGGTTCAGCCAAGGTCTGGCTATTGCAGGCATTTGGGGGCTGAACCAGCAGATGAGTGGGCACTCTCCTTCCTGTCTCTCTCATGTTCTACGAGTTTGCCCTCACTAAAGATGCAAGGGATAACACTGCTCTGCTTAATGTGCTAAGACAAAGAGCAGGGTGTGCGTCTGCGCTTGTGTG